AATGTGTGAAAGCCCTTCAAGTCTCTCTCTCCAGGGCCAGTTGGCTCCAAAATGGACCCTCTGATGAACAATGGAAACGGGCTTTCTAACCTTAACTTTTGGGCAATAAACAGAAGCTGCTCAAGAAGTCTAAATCTCTCTGGCTGGCTAGAAGTTCTGCCTTCCTAGTCCAATCAGGGTCATTCAGTCCCAGAATTCCCTGTGTAGAAAATCTGTTTGTGTGCCCTAAGTCATGAGGAAGGGTAGGATCCTACTTTTCATCATTCCTCTGTCCTGTGTGGAACCCTTTCAAAGCATAGGGTAAGCCATGATTCTTTACTCTGGGGCAGTGGTGGGCTGCTACTGGTGGTGGTGATAACGCAGCTAGAAGACATGATGGATAAAGCATTAGACTGGGAGTCAGCTCAAATCCTGCCTCAAATATTTATTAGCTGTGGGACTCTGAGCAAGCCATTTAATTTCTCTCAGCCTCAGTTTCCTCATCTGTAAAATGGGGATATTAATAGTATTTATTTCATAGGCTTAATATAAGGCTCAAATGATAAAATGCACGCAAGGAACTTTGTAAAGATTTAAAATCACTGCATAAATGTTAGCTATTATTATTAGTTAGCTATTATGCAGCAGAATTCTTCCACTATTCCTGGATCAGGTGCAGAAGCTGAAAATATATAACCTCCGAAAGCATCCAATATGCTCAAATAGAGGACAAGTCCTTCCACCTGGGAAATTAAATTTCATATTCCCTGGTGCAGAATCTCTTCCCCCCTCCCCCATGCCTCTCGTAGCCAGGCATGGAGGATTAATTGTAATTCGGCCAAAACGAAATTTAATCAAAACCCTGTGAGGATTCACTGCTGCCTGAGGTTTAGGGCCTCATTACATGGATGGTATTACACGAGGGTGAGCCATCAATTATTCAAGTCACTAATTACGTCTCTGCTTTTTCTTTTTCCACTTGTTTGTGGTTAAGAAGTTAGAGTCTCTTCCTCATTGGGAAAATAAGATTCCAGAACTCATCAGGAGTGGTGACTTTCCGATTTTATAACCATCTGAAATTAATTGGCTGTAGAAAAGTGGCAGAAAGGATAAAGGATCCAGATCAAAAAGAAAAAAAAAACTCAGGCAATCAATGTCAACATCTTTTCTCAGGTTCCTTCCTCTGGCTCCAGATAATCAACGGTCCTGACAAAGCTCAGGTTTCAAAACAAAACAAAACAAAACACCAGCTCAAGACCTTTTGCAGAGTAGGCTCTTGATAAACATTTGTTGAATGGATGAATGAATGAATGAATGAATGAGTGAATGAATAAAATCAGACTTGTCAATTGCTCTCTAAGACTGGGAGCTCTGAGAGATGAAAGTAGTCTTGCACTAATCCTTTCCATTTCTAATCAGAAGATTTACTCATAGATTGTTTGAGCCAGAAGGGCCCTTAGAGATCATTGAATGAAAATTTCATCGCTCTAGCTCTGGAAGGATCTTTGGGGGACAGCCAAGGGCTGGATCCCCTCATTTTACACATGAGGAAACTGAGGTCCAGAGAAGGGAAGAGGTTGCTTAAGGTCACATAAGCAGTGACTAACAGAGCTAGGATTTTACTCCAGGTCTTCCTATTTCAAATTCAGTGAGCTTTCCCCTATAACACAAGTTTAAAACCTTCAATATACGGAAGAGGAAACTGAGGGACTTGTTCAAGGTTACATCATAAATTAGTGTGAGAGCCGGAATTCTCACCCATGTCTCTTGAGTCCCCATTCAGTGATCTTTCTAGTGAACCAAATAATCAGAGCAGGTCTTCTTAAAAACAGGATACCCCAGGAATACATTTTTAGCATTAGGTTGAATGTTTATTTCTCTTTAGGACAGGTGTTCTTAACCTTTGGTCTGTGAACTTTTTTTTTATAACTGTATTTCAATATAATTGGTTTCTTTTGTAATCTTACCTATTTTATTTTATGTATTTAAAAATATGATTCTGAGAAGGAGATCATGGGCTTCACCAGACTGCTCAAGAGATCCATGACCCACAAAGCGTTAAGAATCCCTGCTGTAGGTTTAAAGGCTCCAGGCCCTAGCATCAGTAGTGGTCATGTTGAATTGGAGGAGGGAAGGAGGAGAGCATGGTCTTAGAATACAGAGTGGAGCTGTAGACCAGCCAGGCCCACAGAGACTCGGGGGCAGGGCAGCAGCTCAGATCAAGTAAGAAATAAATCTCTCCCAGACCCACGGAAACAGCCTTGAGGCTGTGTCATTCACTGCCCTGCAGGGCCTGCTCTTTGCTGCAATGCTATCATTTAAATCAAAATACCAGCAGGATGTTGGGGGAAGGGCAGTGTGTGGGGGGGAACCTCAAAAGCTTGCCTCTGGAATGATAGTAATGACTCAAAGGAAAAATGAGGATGGGGATTAGGGCTTTTTTATCCTCAGGATCATGCAGTTCAATAAACCCTTCCTAAATTTCAGACACTGTGCTAGGTGCTGAACATATATAGCCAAAAGTCAGAGGGTCCCTGATTCAAGGTATTTATGCTCTTGGGGGGGAGGGGGTAAGCAAGAACATGTACATGGGAAAGTCAGTACAAAATATATGATTATAACCTATGGTTCAGGACTGTCAAGCTCTAGAATCACACAAACAGAGGCAAGAGGTGTGTATGTGGACCTACAACTGGAATTTATCCTGAGGTATCAGAACACAGGTCATGCCTAGGCATCCTCAGACATCAGGAATAAGATCCCTAGCTCCAGTAAAAGCTTTCAAGGTAACAAATGCGTGTTGAGTAGAAGATAGTCTTCATTTCACTCCATAGAAAATGCAGGAGCCGAAAAGGACTCCAGTGACCCCTCAGTGAAAGTAGAAAATACATAAGCCACACATTAGTCCATAAATAATACATTAAAACCTCTCTATGGATAAAAAGAAAGTAAAATCCCCTAGAATTAGAGGACTTGATAATTGTAGAAAATATACAAACCATAGTTTGCCTATAAACATTACACCATAACCTTTAAACAACCTTTAACAAGAAATAGAAAAATCCCCAAGAATTAGGAGATTTGATAATTCATGGACTACCCTAAGGATCTTTACAATTATTATCTCATTTGACTCTCACAACAATCTTGTGTGGTAGGCGTTATTATTACCCTCATTTTATAGTTGAAACTGAGCAAGCAGAGGTTAAGGGACTTGCCCAGGGTCACACAGCTAGCAAGTGTCTGAAGCTAGACTGGAACTCAGGCCTTCCTGACCCTAAGCCTGGCCCTCTATCCACCATGCACCAGCACCTACCTCACGGGGTTGTAGTGAGGATCCAGTGAGATAATATATGTAAAGCACTGTGCAAACCTTAACGTGCTACATAAATATTGTTATTATTTCCACTCTACCGTCAAGGTATTATTTACATTATCATGTTATTATTTCTACTCTACCATCACCATAGATGACTGAAAAAGGAGCTGGGCCAATTGTGTATCGAAAGCAGATAGATGCTGAACTGTTACATTTGTATCCTAAATATATCAAAAGGGCCAGGGAAAGGCCCCCAGTGCACAGGGTGGTTGTTCTAGGGAGAATTTAAGGAAAGATGCAGATATAAATTACATAGAATGAGAAGGCACCAAAGAATTACAATCTGGGGGTGGCAGAAATACTTCCATCGGTGAGAGCACAGATAGAAGGCATTATCCGAGCACGAAGATAAACATTTAAAGCTATGGTACCCCAGGCAGCAGCCCTTCCATTATACGCCCGGACCCCTGAGCATCCGGGAGATATTGGGTATACTCATGGTTGTGACACAAACGGGAATCAAACAGCTCCTGCTCCAGTGACACCCCCAAATTCATTGCATCACTACTTGCCCCACTCCCTGACAGTATAGACCACCTCTTGGGAAATAGTATTGCCTCAAAGTCAATCTGACTTGCTGTTTCCAAACAGATTTTTTGTTTTTGCAATGGGGGTTAAGTGACTTGCCCAGGGCCACACAGCTAGTAAGTGTCAAGTGTTTGGTCTGAGACCAGATTTGAACTCAGGTCCTCCTGACTTTAGAGCCGGTGCTCTATCCACTGTGCCACTTAGCTGCACCTCCCCCAAACAGATTTTTAAAAAAGGAGAGACTAGACTTCTCCAGAAAAAAACACAGCCCATGCTAACAATAACTTAGCTTGGTGTTGTGGATTGAGCACTGGATTTACAAGAAGGTCTGGGTTCAAATCCTGCTTTTACCCCTTACTAGCTAGACAACAGGGGCAAACCACTTAAACCCTCCAAATCTCAATTTCTTCATCTACAAAATAGATGGACAATACCTGCAAAACTTACCTCCTAGGATAGTTGTGATATGCAATTGCAATTATGGATGTAAAGTATTTTTCCAATTTTAAAGCACTATATAAATGCCAGCTCTATTATTATTATGATTATTAAGCAAATTAAGGTTTATGAAGTCTTTTCCTCGCAACAGCCAGGGAGCTGAGACTCAGAGATTGGAAGTAGCTTTTCCAAGGTCACATGGCTAGTAAATGTTGGGCAGTGTTTCGAACCCATCACAAGATCACAGATTTAGAGGTTAGAGGAATTTTAAAGGTCATCAGATCCAAACCCCTCATTTTAGAGATGGGGGAACTGAAGTCTAGAGAAATGAAATGACTCACACAGGGTCACACAGCTAGTAAATGTCTGAGGCAGGATTGGAACCCTGGTTACCTGATTCCAAGTTCAGATCTCTCCCCTGTATATCATGGTTGTTATGTCACTACTTTTAGAAACTCCGTCCTCCCCCTTCTGTCCCCACGTTCTCCATTATATTTAGCTGTGTGTCCTATAGCAGGTGGGGGTGTTTTAGGCTGGGGTTACTACAGATCCAGTGACAGTCTCTTACAAAAGACCTTCCATAGGAGCTCCCCCTGCCCTTGTTTGGGTGAGAGAATGGGCTGAGCCTTTTCCCCGCTCCCTGGAGAGGGCCTTTTGGCTCATGGGGGTTGCTTACCTTTGGCTGGAAGACTCCATTTTCTTTCCCAAGGTGGTTGACAATTCCAAAAATGCACAGTGGCCCTGCAAATCCTAGGAAATCAGCCAAGATCCGGAATGTGCTGCTGAGCACCAGCCTTCTCCCAAAGGCATGTGAGAGAGCGAACCAGATGGCCCGGGAGCCCTGGGAATATCTGGAGCCCTTCCCCTGGCCCAGCAAGAAAATGCAACAGCAAAATCAGATCCCTCACAATGGATGGGGCAAACGGTTCCCCGAAGACTGATCATGACCACTACCTCCCCAGACATCCCCCCCACTGGGCTTCTGGTCCTCACTACCGCAATAATAATAGCTTGATATATACAGCACTTGAAAGTCCTAATGGCTGCTGACTCCTTGCACTTGGATGAGCTTGCTGAACCTATTTTAACCAGGGAGGGCTGGGCAGCTGAGCTATTTAGCTCACCCATTTCAGGGGGTCAGCATCCATCTTCCTCTGTGAGTAGTTTATGTGTATGTATATATTGAGGCAACATGAGGGAGAGGCAAAAATAGACTGGATGCATGGGAAATCCATAGCTGTGCCACTAGCTAGTTATGTGATCTTCCTGTCTTGGGGCTCAGTTTGCCCACCTGCAAAATAGGGATCATTATCCCTGCCCTGCCTACTTTTCAGAATGTTAGATGACTGTCAAAACTATCCCCAAGTATTGGGAGGTCTGTCATCAAGAAGAGGGATCAGATTTGTTCTGCTTGGCCCTAAGGGGGAATCATGAGTGGGAGCTTTGGAAAGGCAGTTATCACCGCAAAAAGCTTTTGTACAAACAAAATCAATGTAACTAGGAGTAGAAAAGAGACTGTCAATTGGGGGAAAACTTTCACATTAAATTACTCTGATAAAGGTTTGATCTTTAAAATTTATAGGAAATTGGCACAAATCTATGTCATGCCCCAATAGTAAGTGATTAAAATCTACAAATAGACAGTTAAAAGAAGACAAAAGGTAAATGATGAACTATATGAGGTAGACAGATGGTGCATTGGAGAAAGTGTTAGACTTGGAGTCAGGAAGACCTAGGTTCAAATCCCACTTCAGACACTTTCTAGGCACATAGTAGATGCCAAAAAAAAATGCTTCTTGTTTGCCTTTCTATGTGACCATTTCAATCTCACTTCCCTCATCTGTAAAATAATGATAATAAAAGCTCCTACCTCCCAGGGTTTTTCAAGGCTTGAATAAGACAACAAAAGTAAAGTACTTGGCAAATCATAAATGTGATGTGTGTGTTAGCTGTCATTATATTTAAAAAATGCTCCTAATCACTAATAAGAGAAATGCAAATTAAAACAACTCTGAGTTTTCACTTCTAATGCAGGAGATTGTCAAGATTACAAAAGACGAAATAATCAGTGTCATTCAGGAGCCATGGGAAGAGTGGCACGCTAATACATTATTGGTAGAGCTGCAAATTGGTTCAACTATTCTGGAAAACAATTTGGAACTGTGCTAGGGAATGATTAAAATGTTCATACCTTTTGGCCCAGAAGTACCACTAGTGGGTGCCCCAGGGTATTTCCCCCATGGAAGTCAAAGACAAAAAGACCTCTCTATATACCAAAATATTCATAGCAGCACTTTTATGATATGAAGAATCCAGAAGCAAAGAGCATGCTCATCACTTAGAGAATTTCTGAACAATTCTGTGGTTCATGAATATAATAAAATATCATTGTGTGGTAGGAAACAATGAATAGAAAGAACCAGAAAGGCTGTATGGACTGTTGCAGAGGAAAATGAGAACAAGGACAACTGTATGCATAAGAACAACAATTAAGTAAAAGAAAACAATGTTAAAAGAGGTCAGAATTGATAGCAATGCAAAGACCAATCCTGACTTCACAGGAGTGATGCTGAAACTGACCTCTTTTCAAGAGAGGTGGTGGTCTATGGGTACAGAATGAGGCATATGCTGTCTGACGTAATCAAGGTGTTTGATTTGCTTAATTACATTTTGTTACAAGGGAGGATCCTGCTTAAGGAAGTGGTAGAATTGGGAAATAGCAGTGAAGTAAAAAGAAAAAACATCAATAAAACACTTAAAAAAAGATTCCAGTTTCATATAAAGAAAATCTTTCTACTAATAATAGCTAGCATTTAAGGTTTGTAAAGTACTTTACGAATATTATCTCATTTATCCTCCCAACAACCATGAGAGGTAGGTGCTGTTATTATCCTCATTTTACAGATGAGGAAACTGAGGCAGTCAGCAGTTAAGTGACTTGCCCAGGGTCACACACTTGGAAAGTGTTGAGGCAGGATTTGAGCTAAGATCCTCCTGACCTCATGCTAGGTTGCTTCTATTGAAGCTATCTAAATGACCTCAAGAGGTAATTTCTCTACCATCTTAAGAGGCGATTTCTGTTCCGGTTTGGACAAGATGCCCTCCGAGGTCATATCTCAGTCTGAAATCTGGTGATTTGGTGAAAACTCTTTTTAATTAAGCTGTAATGGATTATAAAAATAGACTGAAGGGCCGCGCCTCCCCCCCCCCCCCCCTCCCCCCCCCCACCCCACCTTCTGTGGCTGTGGAGAGACAGCCAAGACCTTGCGAGGGCCCAGAAGATGCCTATTCTTCTGACGAGGACCACGACTACCACTGACCTTCTGGGCTTCAAAGGCCTCCCGGAGGCGCAGGTAGTTAGTTCGGGCCCTCATGGCAATGGGCAGCTTCCCGATGGCCTTCAGGTCAATGGGTTTCTTATGGGCCGTCTTGATGAAGGCGTTCATCCACCAGTAGGTCCCCTTGGACAGCAGGTTCACAAAGGGCTGCAGGAAGCGCACACCCAGATCCTGCAGGTCCTCCGGTGGCTTCACCTCCTTGGGAGTCTTGAAGAACACGTATCTCTGGGAAGCACACGTGCAGTGGGCAGTGAGTGACCTACATGACTTCCATTCCCCTGCCCCAAATAAGCATGGTTAAGGGATGCCAGGGCTTGGCCAACAAGGCTGAAATTGAGAAAAGGGAAACGTGTGTGCGTGGGCCTAAGTAGGAAGAGCTGTGAATCTCCATGTGAGGGTGGAGGTAGGTCTGTGTGCACATGATGGGATGAAAAGGGCCCTGAATTCTGGGTTTAGCACAGCTGAGTTCTAGTCCAAGCTTGATGGCTTATTAACTTAATTAACAAATTTAGATCTGGAAAAGACATCAGAGACCACTCAGTCTTACCTACTTATTTCAGACCTAAGGAAACCGAGGCCCAGGAAAAATGAGTGACTTGCCCAAGGGACATGAGCCAAACATGAAAGCTGTATGACTTTGGAGAAGTCACTTTGTATTTCTAAGTCTCAGTCTTCTCTCCTGTAAAATAGGGATGAGCGTACTTGCATTACTACCTCTTGGAGTTGTGAATAATCAATAAAAGAACAGATTTCTCTGTAACCAGAAAAGCACTATGGCAATACGAGTTCTACGGGTTATCACTAAAGCTATCTGAGAGAGGAGATGCATCACCTCCCTTGACCATATATTTGTTTGCTTATTTACTTATGCGAGGCAATCAGGCTTAAGTGACTTGCCCAGGGTCACACAGCTAGTAAGTGTCAAGTATCCGAGGCCAGATTTAAATAAGGTCCTTCTGACTCTAGGGTTGGTGCTATATCCACTGCACCACCTAGCTGCCCGCCTTGACCATTTATTTTAATGCTTCATAACCCTGGGTTTACTCTCAATCAGTCCTGCTGTGGTTTAAGCTGTTCTTACTTATCCTGTCCTCCAAGGAGGCAGTCAGTGTATTGGAGTGGCAAAATTTGGAGGTAGAGGATCTGGGTTTAAATTTGACTCTGCTAAATACTACCTGTGTGACCTTTGGCAAGTAGCTTCCCTTCTCTGGGCCTCAGTTTCCTCATCTAGAAAATGAAAGGGTTTGACTAGCTTGCCTCTGAGTTCTCTATAAGCTTTAAATCCTATGAACTTATAAGCTATTCACTTCTCCATAGAATCAAGGACATATATAGAGTAGGGAGAATGGTATGGTAGAAAGAACATTGGATTTGGAGTTAAAGGAACTGGATTCGAGTCTTGACTATCATTTGCTGCCTGTGTGACTTTGGACAGCTCCTTGGGCCTTCATTTCTTCTCAAAGAGAGGACCTCTAAGGTTCCTTTCAGGTACAAATTTGTGCCCGATGATTTGGGTGTGACTTACCACTTATCCAGATTTCACTTCTCTGGGCCTCAGTTTCCTCTTCTGAAAAATGAGGGGATACAACTAAATAACTTCTAAGCTCTATTCTGGTTCTAAATCTGTGATATTATGAATTCCCTCCTGTCCATGTTTACCTGTGGTTTTTTTTTCTACAAACTATTTTTTCAAATGTTTGATTTTCCTATCACTTCTCAAACCCTCCACCATCCCTAGTACTGATTCACGTGGCTCTTATTAACCCCACATAAAGGAGCCCAGCAGAGCCTAGATGGGTCCCTGGGGTCAGAGGGAGGGAGAATGCCCAGTGGCCAAGAGAGATAAGAACTCACTCGAAGCTGTCCCAAGCCCAGGTCAGCTCTCTCACTGGAGCACCAATAGCAGAGAAGGGGACAGAGCAGGCCAGGAGCTGCTTACCCTCACTCTGATGACATTGATTTCCACAGTCAGGAGCATTCCATAGAGGATGACCAGAAGCCCAGTAAGGCAGAAGCGGAGCTGAGAAAATCCAATTGCGTTGTCATAGAACTTGACAAACTTGATAGTCTTGGTTATGAAGGCCAGAGTCCAGTAAATCAACAAGGCTGAAATTGAGAAAAGGGAAACATGTGTGCGTGGGCCTAAGTAGGAAGAGCTGTGAATCTCCATGTGAGGGTAGATGTAGGTCTGTGTGCACATGAACCTACGTGTTGTTCAGTCATTTCAGTCGAGTCTGACTATTTGTGATCCCATTTGGTGGGTTTTCTTAGCAAAGACACTGGAGTGGTTTACCATTTCCTTTTCCAGCTCATTTTACAGATAAGGAAACTGAGGCAAAGAGGGTTAAGTGACTTGCCCAAGGTCACACGGCTAGTATCTGGTCTGAGGCGATTTGAATTCAAGAAGATGAGTCTTTCTGACTCCAGGCCTGGCACTTCATGCACGGCGCAACCTAGTTGCTCATGTGAACCTATGCATGAGTATGAATCTGTGTGTAAGGATGGGTCTGTGTATAAACACGGATCTCTCTGGTGTGTTTGTGAGTCTGCTAGAAGAGTTCAGCTGTAAGTATATGTTCGGGGGTGGTGGTGGTGATGATTTCAGACAGCGTGGTAGAATGGACTGAGCGTTGGACTTGGAGTCACGAAGACATGAGTTCAAATACCACTTCAGATATTTATTAGTTCTATGACCTTGAGTGAGTCCCTGGACCTCAGTTTCCTCATCTGTAAAATTATGAAGTTGGATTTTATGACTTTTAAGGCCCCATACTCCTCTTAGTCTATGATAGCAGGATCCTAAGTAGGTATGAGAGAAAGTGTTAAGTAATAGATAGAGTACCAGAATTGGAATCAAGAAGACGTGGGTTCAAATCGATCTCAGACACACTGTCTGGGTGACCCAGGGCAAGTAACTTTATCCCTCTCAGCCTTGGTTTCCTCTTCTGTAAATAGGAATATAATAGCTCCTAACTACCAATGTTGCTGAATGGATCAGATGACATAATTTATATAAAGTGCTTTGCAAACCATAAGGTGCCAAATAAATGCAAAATGTGGTGATGGTGGTGGTGGTGATGATGATGATGAAATTGATTGTGAGTCCAAGACTCACTCTGGCTTCCACTGCCCCAATCAATCAATTAACCAACAAGTACTGATTAAATGCTTATTCCGTGCTAGGCAATGCACTAGGGCTGAGGATCTAAGTACAAAGAATGAAACAATCTCTAGTCAATAGGAGCTTACATTCTGCCCCTAGCCACCTTCTCCTATAGCATGCATTATGTGTTACAGATCAATCCCCTGGGAGGGCAAGAAGAGCTCCTGAAAGAAGCAAGATGAATCAGTTTCTTGTTCCTTAGAAACTACCAACCCTTTTCCCAAGAGGTAACTTAGGTTATAAAAAGAAAATCTTAGTTACTCACTGTTTTGTTTCCTTGTGAATTAAAAAATAGACTCTCCAACATGAGCTGCCCCATGGTGGGTGTTTTGGGTCAGTGAATACTCCCAACTGGCTGAAGGGTCTTTTAGGAAGCTGGACCCTGACACGGGCTGTCAGCAGCCTATATTTGACACCCTGCTCAGCCTAGAGAAAGAAATGCCTGCACCTGTCATGTAAATTACCTGCCACCCACACCTGGTTAGCATGAGATGGCAGATTTTCCTCTGAGACTTCTCAGAGGGAGTTAGATTTATACCACGTGTATTGTGTATATCTTACATAATACATATAACAATATGGATCCATATCCATATATACCTATAATATCTATATTACATATATATATTATTTACAGGGGAGTGCTGACAAGGGCTTAACCATTGGCTTGCAAAAAAAGGATACACAACATACTTTTAAGTTTAATTTGCATTATTAACATTTTCTCCATTATTCTCTTAAGTCTTGACTGGAGGTGTCAAACTCAAGGCAGCCAGCTGCATGAAGCCTATCAAACTCCCAAGTACCACCAAGCCAGATTAAAATGTAATTGGCAAATGTTTAAGGAGAATGATATGATAACTATCAAGTATTCGAATGACTGTCCTTTCTGAAAAGGTGGGACCAGATCTGTTCTGCTCAACCCTAGAGGGCTGAACCAGAAACAATGGATGGAAGTTAAAGAGAGGCTCACTTAGTCTCAAAGAAGGAGAAGCTTCTTAACAATTAGAGCTTTGCCCAAGGTCAAATAGATGGCAAGTGGAAGAGCCAGGATTTGAACCCATATTCTCTCCCTCCAAATCCAGCACTCTCTGGGATGCAGAATTCTGGATGACAATTTTATAGGGAATTTGCAAAAGGATTCCTGACCACATACAGGTGACACAAGATGGTTTTTGAAATCTTTTCAAAGTGAGATTATTTTGTTTAAAATAAAGAGCCCCAGACTGGGAAATCAATAGATCATATAATCCTACAATAGGCTCTCAGATCTCTGTATCTCAGATTTTCCAATCTGTAAAATGGGGAGAAAAGATCAGGCTCATAGAATTAGATCTGGAAGGGAAAGTGAAAATCATGTAGTCTAACCCTCTCATTTTGTATATGAAGAAACTGAGGCCTAGAAATTAAGCAACTTGTTCAAGGTCACAGAGGGAGTAAGAGGCAGAACCAAAATTCAAACTCAGATCTTCTGACTCAAAACATGGTCCAATGCACCATGCTACCTGTTGCCTACCACTTCAGCTAGGTAACTCAAATCTGTGAAAGAAAGGGTGTATCCCAGGACTCGATAACTGTGGAGGTTACTTGGTGAGTGGGATAAATTTTTCAGCCACAGCATCTCTCAAAAACAACCTATAAGGTCATAGACCAATTCACAGCATTAGTGGACATACCCACACACAACAAATGAGAGATTCTTGAAGTATTGAATCAATAATAATAGCCACTCCCATCCTTATAGAAAACTTTAAGAACCTGTGATGCTATTGTCTGTCTCAAATGAGATGCCATGTGTAAACAAGTCTGTGTAACTTTAAATTGCCATACAAATGTAAACTATTGTTACCATATTTTAATCGTTTTTCCCATGTCCCTCCTTCTCTGCTCAGCCCACTCCCACCACATCCTCCTCTTCTGTCTCCTTCAATTATCAGATCACAGATTCACAGTGGAATCCTTACCTTAGAGACCTTCTAGTCCAAACCTCTGATGGGCCATGGGAGGTAAGGTGACTTGCCCAAGGTCAAACATAGTAAGTGGAATAGCCAGGATTTGAACTCATGCTTTCTCCCTCTAAATCCAGCACTCTTCCCGGTGTACCGCACATGCCTCAAACATGGGTCAGTATCCCTGTTCCCCTCACCCTCCTATTATCTCTCTTGAACCCTCTGTATTCACTGTGACCTCCTAGACTACAGAAATGCAGGGCTCAGTAAGGAGAGAGAGGTGGGGATCAGCACACACTCTGGATTTTAGATGGGCACCTAGCCCCACCTTACAATTGCAAGTAGTGGTTATTCCCTACTCCAGGTACACAGGCTGAACCAGACACAGTCTGAGCCCCAGACACACAGCCTGAACCCTCTAGCCAGAGCTTAGCAGCAGGTGCACAGAGAGACTCTAGATTATAGATTTGCAGAGGTGAAAATGACCTCTAGAACCATCTGATTCAACCTCCCATGCACTACCATAATCTCCTCTCTGGTGTCTGTGATTGGCCAATGTCAGCTGACTACGGACACACAGGGAAACCAGAGGCTGGTCATGATGGTTGTGGAACAACTCTATCACATACCAATCAGCAGCTTGGGAAAGTTGGAGGTCTCAATGTTGTGATAGTAGACGACGGAGGTGATAGCTGCCAAAAACGCCATGCCTGCAGGCATGTACAGGTGCAGATGACGGGAGTCGGCCACCCTGAGGAGAAGGAGAGAGAAAATGAGAATTTGCTGGACTAGTCCCACGTGTAGATGCTACGAGGGTGCGGAAGCCATCCTGTGCACGCTAAGACAATGAATGCCACAGCCTGTCGCCAAACCCAGTGCTTTCTTAGGATTTGCAGTGGACAGTTTCTCAAAATTGGTGGTGTTTGGAGATAGGGCTAAGAGAGGGAGGGAAATGAGGGCTTTGTTTCAGTAATAAAAATAAGCCACTGAGAAAGCTCAACTCCTTTGCAGGTGTGGAATATCGTCGCTGGTTCGTCCCCCATTATAAGGGATTGAGGGCAGGGATGACTAGCTTTGTTTCTGCTGGTATTTGTATTCTCAGGCACTTAGCACAGAGCCTGGCACGTAGTAAGGCCTTATCATGCTTGTTGACTTGACCAAATGTAGACCTGAGACAGGGACTGGGAAGGAGAGATGTATTCAGAAATGAAGGTGATGGAAAAACAAAGATAAAGCACTAAGAAGAAGGAAAAATACATTTACAAAGCACTTTATTTTATTTATAAAAGTTATTTTTCTTTATAGCAAGGAAGTTGGGAGCTGATATATTTGTCACTTTCCATGGTTTCCACAGCCTTTCCACGGTGAGGTTGGAAAAGCACTTCACATACAGCTCTGAAGGACTTAGGATGAAAAATGCTATCCATCCCCAGAGAAAGAACTGCTGGTGTCTGAACACAAACTGAAGCAGCTCTTTTTTAACTTTATTTTTCTTGAGGTTTTTGTTTGTCTATGTTTTCTTTCACAACATGACTATTATGGATATGTTTTGCATGACTACACATATATAACATATATGGGAAAAAAGAAAAGCACTTTACATACATGATTTTATTTGAGCATTACAACAACCTTGTGAGGCAGGTATAACAGGTATTATTGCCTCCATTTTACAGATGAGGAAACTGAGGTTCAGAGTGAATAAATGATTTACCCAGAGTTAACCAGCTAGTAACTGCCTAAGGCAGGATTTGAACTCAGATCTTCCAGATTCCAAGCCCACTGCCCTATCTATTGCATGAATGTCTTGAATCATAATCCTTGAAGCTAAGAGGCAGTACATAAGCTATTTTGAAGTTAAAGAAGTCAAGTCAACAAGCATCTATTAAGTGCTTACTGTATACCAGGCACTGCAGTAAGTGCTGAGAATACAAATGCAAACAGAGAGACAATCCCTGTCCTCAAAGAACTTATATTCTAATGGGAGAAGATAAAACGTAAAAGGAAGCTGAGAAGTAAAGGTAAGGGGGTGAAGGTACAAAGTCCTACAGAAATGAGTCAGGAGTGAAGCCTGGAGAAGAGTGAAGAATGTCCCTCCCTCCCTCCTAATTTGGGGAATCTAGGACAGGGGCACTGCTCTTGGCTGCAGCCATGAGGTGAATGGAGCAGCAGAACCATTTCTTTGTGTCAGAAGCTAAATTCCTCTGGCACGAATGGTCTGATAAGTTCAAGTAGCAGAGATAAACCTCCTAGCCTGTGTGATGCCAACGATAGGCTAGGTCAAGGCTTAAAGGCCAGCATTTTTTCAGAGCTGATTCACTAAACTTTCCTTATTCACTTCCTTCACCTTCTCTCCCCTCTCCCCAACCTTCTGTTGTCTGTGAATAGTCAGGGATACACAGGGAGGCAGGGCTTTTCAGCATTCCCCCCACTCCCCAGGGGTCATAACTTAAGCTGTTATTAGCTAACACCTTAATTATCAGCTAACACTGTAATTATCAGCTGACACCTACAAGGGACAGATATTTCACTTTTGAGAGCCATGACTAATTGGCCAATGTTGCTTGGAACAGGTAAGTAGGATCAGTGGAGATTGTCAGGTGCCGGGATGAGGTATGTATGGGGAAAGGCTGGATGGTGGAAGAAGAGAAGTTAGAGTAATACAACTGAGGACGGGTCTCATCAGTTTACACTCCCTTTCCCCATTAGCTTCTTTTCCCACTCTTCAACTCCCTGGCAAAGGTAGATAGTCCCGTCCAGTGGTTTCCAACCTGTGAGTTAGAAGGGAAAGGGGCTAGGGAGTTACTGCAAAGAATCTGAGAGGCCACAAATAAGCAAATATACCTTCTAGAGAATAACTAGAGATTAGGTCTCAAACGTGGATGTATTGCTGCTTATGAAATGCATGGCGGCTGCTGTGATGTCTAACTACTCCTCAATCTCCTTTGCTGGCTCATCATCCATATCATACCCCTTAACTATAGCTGTTTTCTCTATGTTCTCTTGGTGACTTCATGAGCTTCCATTGGTTTAATTATCATCTCTATGCAGAGGACTTCCAGAGCCACAAATCCAGCCCCAGATTCTCCCTTCAGCTTCAGTCCCTCATTATCCGCTGCCTATTGGACATGTCAAACTGGATGTCCCACAGGCATCTCAAATTCACCACACCCCAAAACAAATTCATTCTCCCCCCTATTCTTTGGAAAGCCCACTACTGTTCCCGACTGCCTAATTTCTGTTGAAGGAACCACGATTCATCTAGTCTCCTAGATTCATATTGTTTAGTTGTTTCAGTCACACCTAATTCTTTGTGACCCCATTTGGAGTTTTCTTGGCAAAGATACTTGGAGTGGTTTGCTATTTCTTTCGCCAGCTCATTGTACAGATGAGGAAACTGAGGCAAACAGGGTTAAGTGACTTGTCCAGGGCCACACAGCTAGTAAGTTTCTGAGGCTGGATTTGAACTCAGGAAGGTGAGTCTTCCTGATTCCAAGCCCAGGTGTGCCACCTAGCTGACCTTAGGTTCATAACCTCAGCATTATCCTCAGCTACTTATTCTTCCTCACCTCACATATCCGATCAATTGTCAAATCTTCTCATTTGTCCTCCACAACATCTCTCACATCCAACCCCTTTTCTCATAGCTTCTCACTTACCTAGTTCAGGTTCTCATTACCTCTTGCCTAGGCTATTGCAATGGTCTCCTAATTGCTATCTAATTATTGGTGCAGTGGATAGAGCTCTGGACTTGGAGTCAGGAAGAACTTGAGTTCAAATTTGGCCCCTGACATTTACTAGTTATGCAACACTTAGGCAAGTCCCTTAACTTCTGTTTGCCTGAGTTTCCTCACCAGTAATAATAAGGATATAATAGTGCCTGCCTCCCTGGTTGTGAGGATCAAGTGAGATATTATTTGTAAAGTGTTTTGCAAACTTTAAAGCATTATATAAATGCTAGCTATTATTGTTATTAGGTATTAATTGGTTTCCCTGCCTCAAGTCTCTCCCCATTCCAATCCATCCTTTGCACAGTTGCCAAAATGATTTTCCTTGAGTGCAGATCTGATCATGTCACATTCCCATTCTGTGTTTACTCTAGGACTAAATATAAACTCCTCTTCTGGGGTTTTAAAGCCTTTTACAGCCTGGTCCCAACCTATCTTTCCAGTATCATACATTACTCCCCTGCCCTCACTCTACGGTCCAGTCAAACTGGCCTTCACTCTTTTACACAGACACCTCCCCACCCACCTACACACACATATACTCCACACACACAGAGGCCTTTGTACTTTCTGTCCCCCATGCCCAGAGCTCCCTCTCTCCTCATCTTCACTTCACAGAATGCCCCACTTCCTTACAAGCACCACGTGGTACATGAAGCCTTTTCTGATGTTCCTGCTTCCTCCCAGCTTCCATAGCCCTTCCTCTTTAACTCTGTATTTATTTTATGTTCACTCTTTCATTCTGTATATACTCTTATATGTATATGTTGTTCTCTGTTTTAGAACACAAGTTCCTAGAGAGAGAGATTATTTCATTTTTTTGTGTTTGCACATCCAATGTCTAGCACAGTGCCTGGCATATAGTAGGTGCTTAATAAATGCTTGCAGATTAATTGTTTGATTACTAAAATACATTACTGAATTTATAATAGGCTTTTGTAATTATGTATTTAATCAAGTAATGGATGCTAATAATGCTAATACTATCCATACTCCACAACTTTTTTTGACATTATTGGGAAAGTCACTTACCTTCTCTAGGCCAGTTTCCTCATCTGTAAAATAGGGTGCAGGGAAAATTTTGAGGTCCTTCTGTGCTCTACACCTATGATTCTAGGAAATATTTTTTTTTTTTGGTGAGGCAGTTGGGGTTAAGTGACTTGCCCAAAGGCACACAGCTAGTAAGTGTTATGTGTCTGAGTCCAGATTTGAACTCAGGTCCTCCTGACTTTAGGGCCGGTGCTCTATCCACTGCACCACCTAGCTGCCCCCAATTTTAGGAAATATTAAGAATCTAGTCTTCAAGAGCCAGGAGGAGCACCCTAATGATGTGATTCTTATCATCTGCCTCAGCTGGGGTCAGGTAGGTCATTACTGTGTGAAATGTTGGTGGTTTTGCACCTTTTGGACCTTGTAACTGAGGGAATTCTTATGAGGGAACTTTGGGATTCTGCATTCTGTTTTCTACATTGTATGAGCTGGTAAGTCTCAGAATCTTAACGTTGAAAGAAAACTGAGGCCATCCAAGCCAACTCCTCTTACAAAACCTACTCATTCGGGCTTACAGATCCATACCTTTCCTAGGAGTTTTAAGGAATATGAGGCTTCTGGATAAAGGCCTAATTTAGTCTACATCTACCATTGTTTGTCCTTCATTCTCAAAGAGGACCAATGACGTCAGAAGGGTGATGTCTTGACTTGCAAGTGAATTGGATTTAAGTGAGGCAGAGCTGAGAAAAGCCATTGGCCTCACTCTCTCTTCTAGAGTCACTGGAGTCCAGTGGCAAGACATAGGTCAAGGTGACTGGCGATGGCCCAGTCTACATCTACCTGTGAGGAGGTGGAAGAGATAGAAGAATTGGTCCCCCTGCTACTATGGATGACAGGCTCTGAAAGTGTGAGTCTTAGACAAGTCTTCTTTCTACTCACTATTTCTTGTTCTGTATTGTGTTTTTGTACGTATTCATCCATTTCATTCATCAGGTTTCGGGGCAAATATTTGGTGGAAATTGTTTCTGACAAT